ATGATTTTAGCTCTGAAGACCTATTGCTGCCCGCCTCTATCGATTCGATCCCCGCTGTAGAGAACTGCCTTGTCCGATGCACCCGACAGCGGTACAAGAGGACTGCCTCGTCCGACGCCCACCAACTTAGATCCACCCAACCAACCACCAATCAGACAAAGCATCTAATCTGTTCCTCCGCCTTTTGCAACTTTGTTGAACCGAGACGAGATGATCACTTTCGCACCTGATGCACAGGCTGCTCGTGGCTCTCAGGTTGATTTGTCCCCCTTGCGCGACCGGCGATGTTCACTGCAACCGGCTATCGACGAATGAACTAACATCAACTTGTTCAGGGCCCATAAATGGTTGGAGTGGGTTTGATGAGGTGCGGGTCCGTCCAAAGGCGCTGAAGCAGGTAGGATTCTACACCATTGACGACGCCGAATTGATTTGTTGCCCATTCTTTAGTCCTGCGCGCCCGTCGATGCCAGGTCGATGCTCACCCGGCCATGCAGGCAGGAACTAATTCCCATGGGACGAATCAGTATCACTCCCGCAAAGGCTGGCTGTAAAGAGTTAAAACAGGTGCGTTGCAAGGAAGATTCAGCCACCTCGTTACGCTCATCCCGAATCAAATTCCGAACCGAATATTAATGTCCGAGTCGCCCAGGTTTCCATGCTGAATTCATTTTCATCCTACTCGAAGTAAAATTGAACCAAGACAACCGTTCTATGCAGGGTTTATTGGCCTACAATTGAGTAACTCGGTGTTCTGAATCATAATGCAGAACAATAGTCGGTACAAGACGAGTCGTCCGCTTCGCCTCGGCTCCAGTTCAAGTTGATCCGTCGAAGATTCAACATGGTAACGACTGAAGTTCAACGCAAAATTGCATGGTGATAATTCGTACGATAACGCGACGAAACTCAGCGAACAAATCCATTTCATGATACGGGAGTCCGTCTGCTCGAACATGTGTAGTTCAACTGAAATCGCGAGTCGGGAAACAGTACAATGACCGGAATTTCTTAGCGACGGAACTTAGCCGAAGCGCGACTGGCAGGCCCGGACGAGGAATTAGAAGCTTGGTGATGGAGAGATATCATATCTAGGAGCGGGATTGCAATTGGACAGATGTTAAGTGGAAATCGCAGCAGTTGTGGCAATTTCACGAGCTCCAACTTGTGGTAGGGGGGAGGATAAAGTATGAAGGAAGTACTGTATATGTTGAATTTATGGAGCGTACGCGACATACAATTAAGTAAATCGGTGTTCTGAATGCACAACAATATTCGGTATGGACGGGAACACTTCAGAGTATGTGCCTTTGGACAGTGATGACCAATTGATGACAAGCTCCTCGAGCGCGCAACTCGAGCGCAGGATGAAAACATTTAAAGCTTCCATGGTAACGCAGGGCTCCGAGACCTCCAGCGTTTTGAGGGCAGGTAGCGTGAGTTTGTCCAGGAGATCTGCCAAATCAGTGGTTTCGACCTCTTCGTCGTGGCTGTCACCATCATCGAGGATCAAGTGGCGGAGGCCCGTGTGGACGACGGGCGTTGGAAGCTGGCCGTCCTCGTCAAAAACGGTGAACTCGCAGTAAACAAGCTGCGGCGCGGCTTCGAGGATCCACGTGCATTCGTACGGGTACAAGCACTGACTCTCGAGGCGAGTGAGCTGAGCCCAGGGGAGGGATATGGCCGAAATAAGGAACGACTCCGTGAGGACGACGCTGCGCAACTCGGGCGCGCGGTGGAAGAGCGTCAGGACGTTCGGAAGAAGGCCGGTGTACCGATTAGGGCCAAGGGTGAGGGCGCGGAGGAGCGGCATACTACCGTCGACGAGGGCAAGGGTCTCCATCGGGACGACAAGGGTGAGGTATTCCCAACGCTCACAGTGGGGAAGAAGTTTATGGAGGAGACGGACAGTCAAGTCCGGGTTCACCCACGAGGCGGAGACGAGGCGTATGGAGAGCGGGCGCGTCCCCGAACGCGCCAGCCAGGTCTCGACGAGCCCGACTTGTGCAGCGGCGAACTCTTGGCTCGAGGGGACGTCACGGTAGGAGAGGTCCAGAGGCATAGCCCTCCAAAGATCCGGGACTGACACCGCGATTGCGCGCCAGAGGCGGCATATTCGGCACAGCAGGAGGGGGGAGAAGAGGCCGAGTTGGGGTGGAAGGTTGGGGTAGCTTGGAAGGAAGTTAATGAAGATTTCGGATACGATCTCCGGCGGCAGAGTGAGAACGGGGGGCACAAGGGATGTTTGGTCGGAGGAATCCATGGGGGGCAACGGCTACAATATAACGGTCCTGCTCTGGATCCAGGGATCGGACCTGGATTAGGCAGGATGCGAGGCCTGTTAGCTCAAGAGTGAGGAAGACAGAGGATGGAATGGGTACGTACCGCGAGATGATGGTGAGAGACAAGCTGCTGAATAAGCGTTCGGCCGAAGCATCCGTACTGCTCCCACGCGAGTCCTCTCTCTCTTCTCGCTCTCATCTTGAAACAAGTCTTGGATTTCGATTGACAAGCAACCAACACGGATAAACCACGACCCAGGGCCTACCTTACTGCAACCTTACCGTCAAAAATTCTGCCGGAAATTTTCTTCAAAAGTTCGAGTACATCTGCTCTCTGGCTCGTTCCTTAACTTCCACTGGGGGGACTTTGTGGCGAGAAAAGGCAACTGCTCACGCCCACCCAGTTATTCAATTTAACTGCCTGACTATCAACCCCCACCCACATCCGTTTCAATTGAGCGCACTTTGCAGTGTCGCGCGCTTGGTGTAACGGTAACCGCTCAATATTTTTGGTCGATAGATCCCCCCCTGCAATATGATTTAGGTGCTTCGCTGTCCGCACTTGATCCCCGCTATCGCGCTACAAGAGAACTGCCTCGTCCGACGGCCACCAACTGAGATCCAATCTGTTCGCGGAGGCGACCTCTGCCTTTCGCAACTTTGTTGAACCGAGACGAGATGCAGCGTTTAATCACTTTCGCACCTGATGAGTTAATTTGTTCCCCGCTCTCAGAATGTTCACTGGGCTTGCAGCAACCGGCTATCGACGAATGAACCTGGCAGTATTGACTTGTTGGAGGACTCGGAGTTGATTTAACGAGGTGCAGGTCCGTCCAGCGGCGCCGATGCAGGTAGTATTCCACAGCGTTAACCGCGCTGAATTGCTTTGTTCCCCATTCTCGATTCCTGCGCGTCTGGAGACCTCGAAGACCGTCCGTTGCAGACGTCCCAAAAACGGAGCCGGTCTAGTGCATCGTTACACTCATCGTTCCGCACCGATGGTTGCGGGTTTATTTCCACCATTCAAAGTAAAATTGAACGAACCTCGCGGACGACAACCCTGACATGTGGAATCCATGAAGCGTAGGCGACATCCGATTGAATAGGTCGGTATTCTGAATCCGCGTAGAATTCCAAGTCGTCCACTTCGAATGCAGCACATTTCAAGTGAGAACAATACTCGGTATGGACGGGAACGTTTCACAATAGGTGCCCCTCGACAGCGATGGCTCAGTAATTACAAGCTCCTCAAGCACGCAGTTCGAGCGCGAAATAAATGCCTTCAGGGCTTCCATGGTATTCCAGGACTCCAAAACCTGCAGCGTCTTAAGCGCGGGCAGCGTGAGTTTGTCCAGAAGACCCCTCAAATCCCTATTTTCGTCGTCTGTGTCAGCGTCGAGGATCAGGTGGCGGAGGCGCGTGTGGACGACGGGCGGTGTCGGAGCCTGGCTGCGCTCGTCAAACACCATGAACTGGCAATGGACGAGTTGCGGCGCGGCGAGGAGGATCCAGACGCACTCGGCCGGGTACAAACAGCGGCTCCCGAGGCGGGTGAGTTGAGCCCAGGGGAGAGATACGGCAGTGGTAAGATACGACTCCGTGAGGACGACGCTGCGCAACTGGGGCGCGCCGTGGAAGGGTGTCAGGACGGTCGGAAGGGCCCCGGGGTACACGTTGGGGCCGATCGTGACGGCGCGGAGGAGCGGCATGCTACCGCCGACGAGGGAGAGGGCGTCGATTGGGGCGACCAGTTCAAGGTATTCCCAACGCTCGCGGTGGGGAAGCAGTATGTCGACGAGTCGGATGGTCAATTTCGGACCAATTCCCACCTGGGAGGCGCAAACAAGGCGGATGGAGAGCGGTAGCGTCCCCGAACGCGCCAGCCAGGTCTCAGCGAGCTGGACTTGGTCAGCGGCACAGTCTTGGTTCGAGGAAATGTTGGTGAGGTCCAGGGGGATAGCCCTCCAAAGATCCGGGGCGGATACCGCGATTGCGCGCCAGAGGCGGCAGATTTGGCACAGTAGGAGGGGGGAGAAGAGGCCGAGTGGGGGCGGAAGATCGGGGTAGCTTGGGAGGAAGTTGAGAAAGATTTCGGAAACGATTTCAGGCGGCAGAGTGAGAGCGGGGGGCACAAGGGATATCTTGTCGGAGGAATCCATCAGGGGTAGGGGCTACAATCTGACGGTCCTGCTCTGCATCCAACGGTCGCACCTGGATTAGGCAGGATTCGAGGCCTGTCAGCTCAAGCGCCACGAAGACGGAGGACGCAATGCGTACCGCGAGGATGATGGTGAGAGCCAAGCCACGACGCACGTTCGGCCGAAGCATCCGTGCTGCTCCCACGCTCCGAGTCATCTCTCTCTCCCGCTCCCATCCCGGGAAAAGACGGAATCTTGGACGGACTTTGTCAATCGACAAGCAGCCAACACGGATAAACCACCGACCCAGGCCTGCTGTACCGAGGACCTTACCACAACCTTACCATCGAAAATTGCCCCGGAAATTATCCGTTCAACTTGAAGTTTATCAAACTTCGAGTACAGTACTCCGGATCCCCTCCCCTCTCTGGCTTGCTCCTCCACTTCTACTGCGCGGACTTTGGCGTGAGAAAGGCACTCTCCAGGCCGACTTCCCAAAGCCATGGAACAACCCCAATCTCGACAAGCAGTTCTGACTATCATAGTATCAAACGGCCGGTTCGTTGATCCCGTGGTCGTCGCGCGCTTGGTGTAACGGTAACACACGGCACTCTCTATTGAAATCCGCCGAGTCTGGGGTTCGACTCCCCAAGCCCGCCTCCGCTTCCATTATTTGCTTTTTTGGCCTTCCTTCCAGTGATGAAATCACAAAGTCTCCACGGTGCGAGCTGACATTTCAGGTTGACTGTACGTCAAGTCCTCACCGGCATATGGTTGGTTTTTTACGGCTTTATAAAGTCTTGCGCAGCCTGAGCGTGAATCATTCTGAATGATTCACGGTCCTCTTCAGAAGCGAATCACTTCATCTTCTGGTGAGATTTGCACTCGTCAAAATTCGTCGCACTCTACATCATCTACGATTTCGAAACTTCGCCAAGTTCGAGGTGCCACTCGAGGTCCTCGAGGCCTGTTGTACTTCCTGCTGTTTTATTTGTGCCCGAAACGAAACGAACTCAATTCCGCTTCCTGACCCGCACCCATCAATCGGCATCCTCGGCCAACAACGAGGGACATCTCTTGCTTCCTTCCGTCACCCTCTCTGCCTTGAATATCCCAGGTTGCGCTCCGAGTTCACTTCTACACGAGCATGTGCCGCCTCCTGTGGATTCCGCGCTCTTTCAACGGACTTGCAGTCCCGATTTTCCGCCCTTTTTAACTGGATTTTCCGGCCTCCACGCCTACCCACCGCGGCATGAGCTGTTGGAGCGGTACCTGACGAGACCTGAGCTCATCGGTTATGTGTCTTCCACCCCCCCTGCGCGTGAGAGACGCCACAAAATCGACCCCCTCGTGGTCTCTATCCGCCTTTTAATTCCCCCATCGTTGATGATGATACCTTCCCGCGATCATCAATATTGGTTTGCCAGGTTAGCCACGCTTTCACAGGTTCCTTGACTCCCGTATCGCGGCCGTCGCCATCCCAAGTAGAAGGTCGCAAGGTGAACACAGATAGAAGAAGAAGGCACAAGATGAACACAGATAGACGACATACTTAATGGACTGAGCCTGGTGGGCGACGCATCTCCCAGTCCCAGGATGCCCATGTCGCCCCCCAGGTTGCTCCTCGCTCTGCTAGTGCTGACGGCGATGCAGGTCACTTCCCAAGTGACGCCTAGCTCGTGGCGGGTATGTACGAAGCGGCTCGACTCCCGTCCACCTGACTCACTTCGACCACAGAAACCAAATATCACGACGCCGTTGACGGAGCGAGTCCGGCTGGCTGGCGCGGCGTTGGATACCGCGATAGATAGACTGGGTACCGATGGGTTTTTTGCAACAGGCATGTCCCTCGTTCCTCCTATGTACAACCGCTAACGAGGCTTGACTCAAGGCGATCTCCCCACCGCCACGGGGGACCTATACTCTCAAATGGCGCTGTTTGACATGGCGACAAATCAAAGCAAGTACGAGAGTGCGCTGGGCCAGTACTTCGAGGTGATCTTGAAGTCCGATGCGAACTTTACGTTTTCATTGTGAGCTTCATTTTTTTGTACGAACGGTCGCCACGCACTTAAATCTGACTCTACTTGTTGGTTAGCGTCCGTCACCCCCACTCCTCTTGACGCTCACTGACCCGTTTCTGATCTGTGCCGCAGCCAGCCAACTCGCTGTACGACGCCCGTTCCACTTGCGCTGTGCCCTAATTAACCCTCGCACTTAGAGCCTTCGGCCACGCGGCACTACACGCGTACACCGCATACAACAAAAACCCCACTTTCCTTCAATATGCTATCGAGTCGTGGTCGCTCGGGCGCCGCTTCACGCTGTCGGCACAGGATGTCGCTGCGGGCAAGTTCGCGGGGAAGAACTTTACTCTTTCCAAGGTCTGTCATAACGGTGCGTCGTCTAGCTATCTAAATTCTGGATGGCGGTTGAGGCGGTACGACAGCAACCATGGCGGGGGGGACGTTCGAGGTAGCTTGGGCAATTCATCGCCCATTCAAAGACTGAAGATCAATCTACTAGAACAACAAACCAGGCGACGTGAATATCGAGGGTTATGCGACTGGGTGCGGGTTGAATTTCTCACCCAGTACTAGACATGCGTACTCACGTTGACGCGTCTCAGATATTTCCTCGTGTAAGTCTTGCCTTCCCCTCCCCTCAAACCGTTCTCACCCATCGTTCAGCCTCTCCGCCCTCCTTGCAGAAGCCACTGGCGACCCTGTGTATCTTGCCGCCGCTAACCAAACCGCGTCCTTCATCCACACCCAACTCTACAACGTCCAGAATGTCGTCCAGTCGTACATGTCGGCAAGCACGAGCATCGCTCCGTGTAATGTGTCGTCAAGCACAAATCCGGTCGCGAACGAGTCTGGGCTTATGATCGAGGGCCTGGCGGTCCTGGCGGCAGTGACGGGGAGCAAGGACACTTTGGAGCTGTAAGCACGTTTAAGTTTCAGCTGCGGCTTAGGGTTCTAACGCCGTCTTTAGGTTGAACCAGCTTCTGGTGACAGTGACTTCGAACACGGGGTGGCAGCGCGAGAATGGAATTCTGGCCGAAGGTATGTCGGTGAATTGACTCGTACATCTCCTGCGCCACTAAACCGACGCAGGTGACAAAGCCAGCGGGGACATGAACGTTCTCCGCGGCCTGGGGACAGTCTACAGCCGCAATCTCACCACGCCCGCGATGCGGCAGTATGTCGGGGATTATATTGGTGTCCAGGTAAGTATAACAACTTCCTTTGTTCGAATGTATACCCAATCATCTAATCACAGTTCAACGCCGTCGTCGACCTCGCCACCTCCAACGGCACGGACATCTACGGCGATAGCTGGACTGGCCCACCCAGCGGGAACTTCTCCGGGCTCAACCAGACGGACGCGCTCGGCGCGCTGATTAGCGCTATATACCTTGGCTCCACCGACGAGTCCGAGTCCACCACTACTGCTCCAAACCCCGTTCCGCACCGCAAACACAACGTGGGCGCAATCGTGGGCGGCACGATCGGCGGCGTCCTCGCGCTAGCCATGCTCGGGCTCGTGCTATTATGGGTGCACAAGCGGCGGGGGCGGGCGCGTCGCCCCGACGCGGGGGTACCCGAGGCACTGTTGGTGTACGAGCCGTTCACGGGAACGGGGCACAGCACAACCACCACTGCATCCTTTGTTCCATCGGCAGCTGGCGGGTTCTCGCATTCGCATTCACACTCCGTTACGCCGCCATTCGGTGCGTCCGCTGTATCGTATCCCCGGGAGAAGAACCTACCGCCACCTCCAGTCCCGGAGATGCAGCAGGTGCGGGTGTCTGCCCCACCACCACCACCACCGCAGCAGACTCAGGACGATCCGGTCCCCCCCATGGCCACGGAGCGCTTGATCAGCCTGCTCAGTGAGCGATTGCAGGGGGAACGGCATGAGGAGGCACCGCCGCGGTATCCGTTCTCCGATGTAGGGTCTGACTAACCACGTCGTTCAATCCTTCTTCATACATTCCTTGCTCTCTGGTCGAAAGATTAAATTTGGAGATACCCTGTACCAGTATATGTTCGGATAATCACTGTGATTTGAATTGAATGTTGAACGGCGATTGCAAATCAGAGCGAAAACCAGCGCCGATGTCAGCTCGTCGATCCCAGTCCGACACGCGTTTTAATCGAGCGGCAGTCTCTCGGAGACAGACGCAACAACAAAGGCGCTCATACCTCGCCATGTTGTAGCTACGAGGTGCTCTGGCCTGGCTTCAATCAGGATTACTTAGCTCAACATTAATATTCGACCTAGTTCCGAACGCGATCGCGAAGAAGATCATGTCGCAGTGCATTCAGCGTTGGGAAAAGAGAGATCATTGACGAAAAACTGAGGGATATAGGGTGGTGCTTTCTGAATGCAACCCATCTTTCTTGAACCCCGAGTTGGCCGTGCATCATGATGATCAATCGGCATCCTTTCGGCCAACAACGAACGACACCTCTTGCTTCCTTCCTTCACCCTCTAAGGCCTGAATATCCCAAAATGCAGCGTCCTTCCAAAACACTGCCTTGCGAGTTGCGAGGATGTACTGCCTGTAGATTCTGTTCTCCCCCAGCGGACTTGGCACCCAATTTTCCGCCCTTTTCCACTGGAGAGATCTCTTTGCTTACCACTGGGCATGAACTGTTCGAATGCCACTGGACAACAATCTGCCCCGGCCCCCAATTTCTCTCAGGCCACGCGCATCATGTCCGCCGTGTGACGAGCACTCGACAGGACCGGGTCCCGTCTCCGCGTTCAATCCTTGCGCATGAGAGGCGCTACTAAATCGATCTCCTTCCCATGGTCTCCATCCGTCCTTCAATCCCTTGATCTTTCGTGATGATATCGTCCCGCGATCACCAGTACGCGGATTCGCAGGTTCCTTGACGCCCGTATCAAGTTCGTCGCCGTCCCAGGAAGAAGGCGCAAGGTGAACACAGATAGAAGAGATACTTAATGGACTGAGTCTAGCATCTCCTAGTATCCCAGGATGCCCATGCCCTTCCCCAGGTTCTTGCTCACTCTGCTGGTGCTAACGGCGATGCAAGTCACTTCCCAAGTGACGCCTAGCTCGTGGCGGGTATGTACGAAGCGGCTCGACGTCCATCCGACTCACTTGGCACGAACACAGAAACCAGATATCACGACGTCGTTGGCGGAGCGGGTCCGTCTGGCTGGTGCCGCGTTGGATACAGCCATCGATAGACTGGGGACCGACGGTTTTTTTTGCAACAGGCATGTTCCTCGCTCCTCCCGTGTTCACCACTAACGAGGCTTGACGCAAGACGATCCCATCGGAGCCGCGGGGGACCTGTATGCTCAAATGGCGCTGTTTGACATGGCGACAAATCAGAGCAAGTATGAGAGCGCGCTGGGCGAGTACTTCGAGGTGGTCTTAAAATCCGCTGCGAACTTTTCGAATCCATTGTGAGCGTCATGTCATTCGTGCGAACGGTCTCAGCACACTTGAATCTGACTCTATTTCTCGCCCAGCGTCTGTCACCCATTCTTTCATTCAACGCTCACTTAGGTCTTCTAACATTACTCGCAGATATCCAACTCGCTGTACGATCCCAGTTCCGCTCCTGTGCAGTGCCCGAATTGACCGGCCCCACTTCTGACTCTAGGCCCTTCGGCCACG